CATTATATGCATGTTTGTATGTTTGTTCGCTGTAAAATGTTCAAGTGATCAAACAGCATTTCAGTGACGAAGTCAAAATTGTGTACATATGATAAATTTTTGAATTTAATAGTATAAAACAAAAACAAAATTACTATTGGTATGAATTGTAGTGTTAAAATACATTACAAATTTATTTATGTCTCACATCTGATTTCTTCAATTCTATGAAGCTTTATTCTTAAATATTGTCCATGCGCAATATTTCCGAAGCAATATCGTAAACACCAATTTTAACATTTCAATCCGGTGTAAATAGCATTCATGCGTTTCCTCAAATCAGGAGGCATTATTAGTGGTTTTAGTGACTTCTACACATTTTTTCATCATAATTTTTCTTACTTTTCTAATATTTTTATTTTCTTTAAAATACTTTTCAAACACTTTTATAGGAATCTTAAAAATATTTTTTAAAATAATCATAAAAAATCACCAAAAATTCAAACTATTAAGAAGTAGTTCCTTTTGAGGTAAAATATATGCACAAATGTGCAATAAAAACATACATATTAATATACTGCAGACTTAATGTCTCCAATATCACATTTGTACATACATAATGGTTTTTGTAGTGCATCATTTGTTGCAATAAAAAAAATATATTCTATTACTCTTTACTCCTATGATATGAGCCTTTTTAGTATAAGAAAATAAAGCAACAAAGTATATAGAAAAATTATTTGACGGATTTCTTTACCATTCACTTCGTTACCAATCCATGTATATGAATTAAATAGACAAATTAAAACAAGAAAGGCAAAAGAAACAGGCATATAAAAACAATTGTGGGTTGCAATGAGTTTGAACTGAACATCATACCAGTTGTGACTCGATCGAACATTGTTGCATGAGGTTGGGTGGATTTATTATAAATCCACCAGCAAAATTAAGTGGGTATTTCGTTTGTATGAGCGTGGCACTTCTTTGTACTATAGATTCTTTGGTAATACCTTATTGCACCGCTATTAAGTAACTCATTTTACATATTTATTTCCTTTTTATTTATTGAATCACTTGAAAAGTCTAACAATAATTATTTACATCTTACATACTAAAAATATTTATTCAAAGTTCATGTCATTACCTAAACTTTCCTTGTCTAAAACATTAAGATTCTTAATTTTTGATTTTTAAAATTTTAAACTTAATGTGGTAATACATTTAAGATTCATTAAAGGTATGCCGGTAAATCTGATCTTTTGAGACAGAATATGTTCCTTGTTCTGGTAAGATATTGAGCGAGTGGGTTTGGATGTACCATTATTTTAGTGTCATTTTACAGGAATTCCGCATGGAAACACTGGATGCATTTTCTAATGTTTAATATCAAAAACTTCAAAGATGTTTGAATGTATTATTTTGTATTTCACACAATCAAGCAATTAATTTAATTGAATCTTTGAAAATTGAAAGTAAAATTCAAAAAGAAAATCAATGATTAATCTATGTTCAAATTTATTGAAATGAAAAAAACTCTTTGCCTTAAAAACTGTCTCAATTGCCTTAAGCCTTGCCTTAAATAAATGCTTTATTGCATCACTATTATCAACTTATTCCACAAATAAATTTATTTTTAAACCTTACTTTAATTTTAGGATTTAAAAAGAATGTAAAATAATACAATACATAAGTTAGCTTGAAGCTGGAGTTTCATTAGGCATCAGTCCATTCTACGGTTTGTGATGGAGATATAAGCTATTGTTAATAATGTGTAGCGGATTATGGGATATGTTAATACAAAGAACATCTAGTATCTAATATAACTACAGAGATAAATTGGTCCGAAGCTTACAAAACAATTCGTCTTGTCAAAATGTTTCGCTAAGCTTTTTACGTTAGCTTGCGCACACTTAGAGAGAGACAATAGTTGCTGAGTGTCTGAATATTTTCTAACGTATTTCACGTATTTTGAAAAACAATCCTACACATTCTTACACTCCGAAAAATATGCTCTAATTATACACTTATATAAATTGATCTCTGAGATTCAGTTAAAATCTGAATAAATTAACAAAACTATTTTTCTTTGATTTCAGTCTATAACTCACAAGTAATTTATGTTTCTGATATGGTATAGTCTGATAAATTTATAATGTATAGTCGAATAAATGGATATTCGCAAAAAAACTGAACTGCTATAAATGTAGTTAAACTATTTTCTTTCTGATCTCTCTCAGCAATTATATTACTTTAGTACAGGAATTATATTATATTATTATAATACAATCACTTTTTTGTACAACGAAGATTTGAGATCCTTGCAGTTTCAAAAAAAAACATTTAATGGAACATTCTATGACATGGAACATTCTATAGTTGCATGAGCATAATAAAAGTGGCAGTTTTTGTATAGCCCATTGAAGCCACCTATAGCACAGATTGGTATGACGTACACTATTACTGGAAAAAGTTAGGAAGCAATTCTTATTGGAACCGTAATTTAGAAACTACTTATTTTTTATATATTCAGGGAGTTGTTTTAAATTTGCTTAATTTAGTTTAGTAAAATATTTATATATTTTGATTAACTTTTATTATTATCAAAGTGAACTATTTAACTCATGCCAAAGTTGTTTTTTCTATATAAAGTTTTAAAAATGTTTTTATTCGCTGATCTTAAATATTTCTTAAATTTTTTTATTTCAGTTGATTTAATAATCAACTGAGCTTAAATTGCATATTTCCTTTAATATTTCATATTAACTGAAAATGCTAAGCATGTCGTTTAATTGCAATTTTAAAACACACTTACAAACTTTTTAGGTTACCCTCGTCGCATTATTCAGAACAGAAGTCTGTAGTGTTTAGCCTAGTTTAGAAAACTAAAACATCTCATTAAAATAATATTTCTGGAAACATTACATCCCACTTACATTTGCTAATTTGCGAAAAATTACATTTTCTGTAATATTTAACGTTGCTTAAAATCTTATAGCATTGGAAAAAATTCTAGCAATTAAGGCGTGTTAAATAGTGTACAGTAATAATACAGATAGTATTTGTTCTTACCATTGTGAGTACAAAGGAGCATATCGTTAATGTTATTTATTACAAGAAAAATACTTTTTATTATTATTTTATGAACTATTAGTTATGTTTGTTTTGCAATAATTGCTAGTGAGTATTAATGATGGGTGGGTGGATATGTAATTATAATTGCCATATACATTATGGAAACGAGTATATTATGCAGAGCCATAACGAGTGTCTAACTGCAGGCTATAGCCATAACCCCCAGGTTATTATCCACATAACAAAACTAAGTACCCATTAGACCCAATTTATGTTTAATGAACCACTAAATTGCGAACATAAAATCAGTTTCACTATTTTTTTTTGTATTTATTTAAAATGTTGTAAATTCTGTAAAAACATTATAGATTTATGTATTTGCAATGGTATGACTTGCTTTAGTAGTACTAAAAACACCAAATTACAGTTCTTGTATTTTTCTAATCTTAGAACTAATTTTGTTTAATTGCTAATTGCTAATATTTAAATATTTGTTCTAACTATTATTTTCCTTTAAAATTTATTAACAAATGTAGCAAAATATTTTATGTAAACATTCATACTCCCATACATATATGGGAATACGTATTATTTCACAATGAAAATAATTAATAAAAATTTGTCACAAACATCACACGACTTGATCTGATAAAACTCTAAGTTTATTCCACAAAAATTTGACTTAAAGTTTTAGTTTAGTTAAAGCTGTCCAACTGTTATACGCTACATTTTGCAATTTTAATTGGCATTTTTTCCAAATGCATTTTTAATTGATTTAATTATTGCTGTCTTACAATATATACAAGCAGCACTTTTGATTAGTACGTATCTTGAATTTTTGTGTGCAGTAACTAAATTTGCATTCGTCTATGCAAATTTGCAAACAACTTCGAATTTTAAGTATTCATGCCACACATGACCAGTTAGCACCTTTTCGGTTATCGAGTCACCAGTGCACAGTGTGACATATATCCCCCACAAATAACGCCATGAGCGGCTACCATAAACTTTAAGGCAATAACAAGAAATGTTCACTAAAATTCGTTTTCCAACTGATTTATATGCAAAATGCGTAAATTGGTATGAAATTCGGATTGATTTTTGCTCTTTGAACAGTTCAGGCAATGCAATGCCATAAAGGTATAAGGAAAACATCCAGATGTGATAGGAGTATGACATAACGTTTCGCGTAGTATAAGTTTTATTAAAATTTTAGCCTACTACTTAAACAATACCGCTTTGTTTAATAAATACCTGCAAGTATTGGAAAAACAAAAGACTCAGAACACATACTAATCTCCCTAATATGTGAACTTGACAAGCTTGTAAAGTATTGACAATTAATAAAGATTTTTATCAAGAGAAAAGCTATTTGCTGTTCTGGGCAAATCTTGACAAATTTTAAAGCTCAAGCAAAGAAGATAAAAGAAGAGAAAAGAGACTGAGAGTTGCTCGAGTAACTGTGTATAAAATCTTCTGAATAATTCAAATAATATTCAAAATTTTGAGTAATGAGGTGAAAATATGACGCAGTACAAAAACAAAAAGCCTAATGCTACACAATAGCGCATGATCATTTTCCCCACCCCGTCTTTCTATTTGGCCCACCCGGTCCCTACTCACCACGATGCTTGCTAAAATAAGAGCACTTTTCGAAAATTGTGTTGTTTGTTTTGGTTTTTTGATGTTTAAAATCGCTTAAGACATTTGTTTATGATTCTATACAAAGAGGCACAATATTTCAAAATTTTCTCTCAGTTTCTTTCTATTGTCGTCTTTGGCTCAAGTACCTAATGCTTTTCACCACGCT